AGGATGTTGAATGTTGTAACATCCCAGTTTTATTGTCTGGATTTTGTTGTCTTCCTCTACAGTGTGCCCATATTTATTTCCACAGACAACTAAGTTACATGAAGATCTATCTGCTTGGCCCTGGCGCTGCCAAGCCATGTTTTCAAGCTTCTTTCGGGTAGGGTTAGTGTAACTTTAAATGAAAGTTAGTTTAACTATGCTGACAAAGTGTGACACTTGTGGGTCTCTACTGAATGCTCAGCTCCCTCCACTTTGGATGCTCTTACCTGGAATATGTCCTGGTGCCTTTGAGCTAGGAGAATTGTCTTGCTTACATCTTCACAGTAGTTTTTGGTGATTGACTAGTCATGTGGAATTTTACTTTAGCACTTAGCTTAAGACCTAAGGAAACCCTGTGTACATTTCTGAAGAACTTTTTGGTATTTTGCTGCATGAATTGTAGCCTCCTTGACTTTCTCAAACTTTGTCATGTCCGAGCTCAGCAAGCCTTCTATGTCTCCTTGAGATTTCCCCCGTGTCCAGAAAGTGCCTTTCGAAGAAAATTGGAACCATCCTAGAGCTAACCTCATTTGTTTCTCTTTCCTTCCTGTTTTCTGATGTCTGAACTTTTTTCATGCAATTTTCCAGTGTCTCAATGGCTTCACACGCTTTGGCCTGTTTTGTATCTGTTTACAATTATTAAGTCCAATATCGCTTTGTTTTGGACAAAAGCATGTCAATTCAAATTTGACAAGTGTGTGTTCTGGGCCATAGGCACCTTAATCAAAATACAGAAATTATTACCACCCTGACTTTAAGTCCCCCTTGCTCATCTTGGGTCAGTTCCCCACCTCAGAAGCAAACTGCTCATTTAATTTTATTTCAATTCATTTGTCCTTTCAGCAAACACAGCATTGGCCCAACAGTGGGTCTGCAGGGAGAACAAGAAGGGCAGGATCCCTGATTCATTAATTGTCCAGTCACACAAATAAGCATGACATTATGACAGCGATAATTGGTTCTCTATAAGCAGGTGGTAATATAAGAACACAGAGTAACTCTGTGTGGCCAAAGAGTTTCTTTGAGGAAATGAGATGGGCTAGGACCTAAGCAATGAATCCTAGCAATTAATTAGGAGAAATTAATTAGAGAAATGTTGGGAGAAGGAAGTGGAAGACATGCTCCAGGAATACTAACCAACAAAAATCATGTTCAAGCATCCTAAAAACTGGCAGAAGCTCTGCAGAGAGGCAAATGTGACAAGGGTCAAGGGACAGCACAGCCCAGTGTGCAAACCCAAGGAAAGATTTCAGCCCTCACTCTGGGAGACAGGACACTTGGGAACATTTTAAATTAGGTTAAATGGCAGGGTCAGGTTTGCATTTTAAAAGGCCATTCTGGCTACCATAAGCAAGAGAACCAGGAGAACCAGGAGTGGGTCTGCAGAGAGACCTGTTAGAAGGTTTCCCCAGTGGTTTAGGCAAGAGGCCATGATAGTACAGCTAGCTGCCAGGAGGAAGAGCAGAGAAAAGTGAATGAGTTGTGGAATATACAGGAAGTAAACATGACAAGACCAGAGACAGGTGACATGGGGAAAGAAGAAGCAGGTCCAGGATGTCTCCCTCCAAGGCTCAGATGGTTCGGTGCATGATGGTGCCATAGAAGAAGATGCTGAAAGGTTCCTCTGTGACCCCTGGTGGGAGATGTGTGGGAGGCCAGTTTGGTCCTGCTGCACTTGAGGCTTGTTTGATGAGGAGGCTGGCTACAGGCAATTAGAGTCAGGGAGTTCGGAGGAAGGACTGGGCTGGAGATTAAAAACATGCTGTCATTTGCATCTGTCAGTAATGAGGCTGTGGGTGTGATGAGGTCAGTATGGGGAAAGGAGAGAACTATAACTGAGTGGCTGCTGGCATAGACCTGCGACAATAGAAGGACTGAGCTGGAAGACAGGAGACAGTGGAGGTGAGGAGGAGCAGAGAGGTGAAGGAAACTCGGGAAAGGTGGGGCATGGAGCCAAGGAACAGGACTGGACCAGGAGCCCAGGTGGCCTCAGAATCCAACACCACTGGGAAAGCAGTGAGATGAACATGTGTACATGTCCACTGGCTTTGACCTCATCTGGGTCTGTTCTCTGCAGGTGCAGAAGCCAGGCAGTGATGGGAGGTGAGGGGGTGTGGACACTTGAGGGTGGACAGAGCGGCAGCTGGAGGGATGAGAAGGGAAAAGAAGCTGTTGCTTTTTGGGCCGGTATGGGTCCCTTTGTCCTCATAGAGGACCTGAACACATATAAAAGCAGAAGTGCTAAGGCCTAGGGATGGTAGGAAGGGACACTTTTGTCCAGGTCGGTCTCACCAAAAGGGGCGGCTGGCATAGTGGGGAAGGGGGAATCAGGAGTTTGTGTTCTGTAGGAGGTGAGGCAGCTCGTTGTCTGAGGGTCTGTCTTTGATGTGAAGTGGAAGGATGGCTGTCTGCTGAATGGGCTGCATGTATACATGTGCACTTGTGTGTTCTATGTGTGTGTGCACACACATGCCCATGTGCCAGGGGCAGGTCCATTTGAGGGACATGGAAAGGGCTGAGACTTTGCCTGCAGTCAGCACGACAGCGAGTTGGTCAGGCACATCGCCAGGCAGATGGAGGTTGGCAATGGGCAGCTCCTAGTGGACCCAGTACCCAAGGAGCCACCTAACCCAGGAGCGCTGGACGAAGAAGGTGCCACTGGGTAGGTTCTACCAGGCTGGGAGTCGCCACACATCACAAAGATAGAGGCCCCAGGTAGGGATGGGCATGGATAAAATGAAGTCCCTTGCACCCAAGCTGGGTCAAGAGGCACCAGGGAAGGTGGAGACCCGCAGGGAGCAGAATATCAGTGCCTGCAGATGGAGCTAAGGACAGAGTAAGTTGGGCATGGTTGAGAAGACACTGTATGCCAGGAGCTTGGACACTTCTGAGCAAGGTGGGGACAGTGAGGAATTGGAGGAGGCAAGTGGACATGCAGCTCTATGGTAGGAAGTTTGCCCTGTCTGCAGTGTGAGGAGATGAGCTGGGAGGTACTTGAGCCATTGAGTCAGTGAGAGACAATGGAGGGTTGGCCCATGCCAACTGGGTGTCTGCAGCCAGAGGTCAGGCCCAGGAGAACAAAGTCCCTGACACTCCATGGCAGAACCCACTGGCAGGATGCTCACACACACCCAGGGTCCAGCAGGGATTGGAGAGGGCTTGGCAGGGCTGAGGAGGAAGGGACAGGAGTTGGATGGGGAGAGGTCCAATGGGGAAGAGACTGAATTTGAATGAACTTTGCCAGGGTTTTTCCTTCAAGACTGTAATGACTTCGCCTGGAGCCCCAGGCTCAAGCAGGAAGGAGTCCTTTGACACCACCTTTCCCTGAGCTCCAAGTTTTCCGGGACACTGACCTTCAGCCCCATCCCCTTTCAAATGGTCATGAATTGCAGGGGGCAAGTCTAGCCCTTCTCCCTGCTTCTGCGAGAAGAGGCAAAATCTTAAGCGCCATGAAGGAGAAGCACCTGTCCATTGTGGGCCTGATACTGTGCTGGGAGCTCTGCGGACATTGTCCTGCTTCCCACTGTAGCCACCTCCTGTGACATGGGGGATGGTGAAGTGCAGAGATGGGGGTGGGAGGCAATGCAAAGATAGTTGCACAGAAGCCACCATTGTTTGCATGCAACTCATTGCCCTGAGGTTGTAAGGAGAACACAGTGCTTGCTCTAGCTCGTTTCTCACTGGTGATCAAGGTCAGGTGCTGCCTGAGGCTGGAGGTCCTGCAGCCCCCAAGATGACAGGGCAGACCCCTGCCCCTCACAGGGCTGCTACGGAGCCCCTTCTCACATGGCTTCCTGCAGAGTCTCTGTCACAGATCAGCAGAGAGGAAAAACTCAGGACTTCGTCCCGTCTTCCTCCCGGTGTCCTTGCTTGGTCATGCCCACCCACCTGCTTGTGGGGATGAAAAGCTCTTCCCCCACATGGTGCACTTTACCATGGGGACAAGGGAGCCAGGGAGCAATGAAGAACACTCTCATCACTCCAGTAAAGGAGCAAGTCCCCTCTCCACAGAGGCTTCTTCTGCACAGTCCCCTAGTGGGTCCCTTGGCCTCCAGCCAGGCCTGCACGCAGCTGCACGTGGTCTTCTGCTTCTGTGGCATGTCTCACTGTCCCATGCCTGGCTGCTGCTGTTCTGGGTTGAGGTCCTACGGCACACAGCCACCCATTCTCCTCAGGGTTGCCTTGTTCTGCTGTCCTCTGGGCATTTCTTTTTCACCTTGCTAAACCATTTGTTTCAAGTCTCAACACCTGTCACCTCCTCTGGGCAACTTTCTTGTCAGTGACAGGCGTGCTCACCTCTCATGCCTCGTGGCACCTGCTAATTGCCAGTCTTCCCCACAAGCCCATTACGGCCAGCGCGCTGCCTACCTGCACCCACCCCCCTCCCCGTGCAGTGCCTTGCATAGGGCATGCGTGCACTGACACGAGCTTCCAGACTACATAGGGAGGGGGCATGAAGTGTGCGTAGCCTTGGTCACTCTGTGGTCTGGCTCATCGTTTGCTCAGGGTGAGCCAGGCCAGTCTGGTCATGGTAAGAGTCACTGCTGCTGGGTAGATTAGACTTTTGTCAAAAGATGTTAATGCATCAGTTCTGAAGTGTCTAGAATCCAAGGTGACTATGGAAGAGAATGGGGCAGAGGTGTCAGGCTTTCTCCTGCCATTAGTTCCCACTGGTCACTGGCAGGCCCAAGTGAGGAGTCCGTGTTTTCAGGCAAAGAAGTTTCTCTGTAGCTGTGAAAAACACACAGATGAATTCACAGTCTGGAGTCCTACTCACTCTTTGGGAAACCAGGACATTAATGACACCTATGCCGTAGGGAGATTTCGGAGCTCCAGTGAGACCCTGGGGGAGGCTCTCATCTCACTGCTGACGGTACAAGACATGGAGGGTCTCTGACAGGTCCTCAGTTTACCCTCCCCAATGGGTCTCTTCTCTCTCTTGCAGACTTCTTTCCTTCCAAATGGCCTCTTCCTTTCACCGAGTTCTGTTTCTGGTTGGCCTCTGTGCTCCAGTCTACTGCATCCCCCCATCCAGCACCCCCAGTAAAAGGCCCCCCAAACCTCCCTCCATGAAGGGCACCCCCGCCTACCAGGTGTCTCGCAGCAACACCAACTTTGCCTTCCACCTGTACCAGAGGCTGGTTCTACAGAACCCTGGTCGGAACATCTTCTTCTCCCCTGTGAGTGTCTCTACTTCCCTGGCCATGCTGTCCCTGGGGGCCCGTTCAGCCACCAAGAGCCAGATTCTGCAAAGTCTGAACTTCAGCCTCACACACACAGCAGAGTCTGTCATCCACCTGGGCTTCCAGCACCTAGTCCACTCTCTGAACGTCCCCAGCAAAGACCGGAGTTTGAGAGTGGGCAGTGCCCTGTTCGTCAGAAAGGGGCTAGCGCTGCAGGCGGATTTCCTGGACAGAAGCAAGAGGCTGTATGAGGCGAAAGTCTTCTCCACAGATTTCTCCAGCACCTTTGCTGCCCAGGAGAAGATCAACAGCTACGTGGCAAAGGAGACCAGCGGGAAGGTGACGGATATAATCCAAGACCTTGACCCTCTGACAGCCATGGTACTGGTGAACCACATTTTCTTTAAAGGTAAGGACCTGAGAGGTTGATTCTGATTTCTTTTTTTTGTTTTGTTTTGTTTTTTTCTATTTAGTCAAAACACAGCTAGACAAAACCAAGACAGCTGGGTGGAGAGCCAGCAGAGCCGGAGTTCTGATTAACTTTGCCAGGAGCTGGCTGCCCTTGTTCTGTCTCCCAGCTTGCATCCATCGGTTACAATGGTGACCCACTCATCGCTGTCTTCCGACAGTCTGATTCAATGTCCTGAGAGACAGAGCTCGGGCTCCGTGGGCAGCCCCTAGGGAAGCCTTCTCAAAACAAGGCAGGAGAAAGGACTTCACCTCTCGCCACCAGCAACAGCCCCATTGCTCTCTGGAAGTTTTAGGGGAGAGACAGAGCTCTCCAACACCCCAGTTTAAAAAGCAGTTCCAAAGGTGAAACACTTTAGTAGCTTTGGAAATGTAGACAAGCTGGCACACTTTTCCTTTTTTTGGTTAATCTAGACATTTTACGTAATGTAATGTAGCAACTCTGGAAATCAGTTTCTCCTCTTTCCCAAGAGTTTGTTGATTGAATAAGCATTTGTTTTGTTACTCTTTCTTCTGAACTAATTCTTTAAAGTCTGAACTTCGCCTTGTGTGGCCACTGACACCTCTTCTTGGTTAGTTAAGGGGTCAGAGCAGAGATTTCTTAAATGCCTAAAACAAATTAACCTCCCCATCTTTGCCGAGGGTCTCCATGTGCAAAATGGGGCTTGCCATCAACTCAGCCAAGTGGTGGACACTTCTGACTTGGCCTTTACTTTCTCTTTGTGCAGACCCCAAGGTCACTTTCCCAAGTTTGAGAAATACATATTTACATATGTATGAGTCCTCTACATGTCAAGATATGTTAGAACTTTTCCAAGCTCCTGTAGGCATTTTATTCTCTTTAGATTTTTTGATAGGTCTATTGTTTGCTCTGTCTATCATCCACCATAGGGACAGTCACAGAATGAAGATACTTAGTTATAATTGCTTTAGAAAATCCTGCCACACCCCAGCTTAGCATGGGGCGAGTGCCAATCAGATGTGAGCTGAGAGAGGGCTTCCCAGGAACCACTGGGCTCGTTAGACAATGGTGATTCTTTGCTAAGGAATCTGGGAAGTGCACCACTCTGCTCCTCTCCCTCTGGTTTCAGGAACACAGAGACCACTTTTCAAGCTACTGCTGAGCAGAGGTGGGATTAGTGCCAATCAAAATGCCACCAACAAAGCTGACCTTCCCATCAGGGTTCAGCCATCTTTCTTTCTTCTCTTTTCTTTCCTTATTTATTTTGAGTAAAGCACGAGAGTTTATTGAGATAGAAAAGTAGCAAAAAGTAGAGCTGCCAGAGCTGGGAGAGGATCCTGAGAGAGAATGCCCAAGGTATTTCCACTTTTTTTAATTTTTAGTGCGACTGGGGTTTGAACTCAGGGCTTCACACTTGCAAAACAGGCACTCTACCACTTGAGCCAGACCTCTGGTCCTGCAGCCACCTTTCTTGAATAAGCTGTCCTCCGGTTGCCAACAGACAGATGGCCCAAGTTCTGAGAAACAAGATTGAGACCATTTTTAGGGAAGGGTGACTACATGGAGGGCCTTAGTCTGCCATTTTTGCCACTACCTCTCTGCCCCCAGTTTGTCTTCTTAAGCTCTTTGGTTAGTGGATCGCCTGCCCCACTGTTACCTACTGGCCACAACAGTGACAAGCTGTAACTGTCTTGGCAAATGCCCCCTGGGGAAAGGATTTTCACCTTGGCCAAACTCCAAGTCAGATCAAATACAGACAGCTTTGCAAGCCACTCTTCCAGGATAGCACAAAACAGGTGAAATGATGGCCGTTCTTTGGGAATGAGTTTCCAAAGGGTTCCAGCCCCGTGGTTTTTTCCTTCAATGGCAAACAGGTTGCTTGATTTCTACTAATGTGGGCTATTCCTTTTCAACACCTCTGCAGAACTAGAGAATGGGGTATGACATTAGGCAAGCTGGAATGCCATAAACGTCACCGTTCTTGGCAAGATTCAACTGTTTTTCTTTAATAATCTGTTCTCCAGTTAGCTATAAGCATTGGGTTGGTTTCTAAGTTCTGAAAGAATTGATTATGACTGTCACTGGCAGTTTTCTCATTGTTTTACTGAAGAAATGAGTTCTCAGTCTTCACCTCACTGTTTGCACTGACAGAAAGACCTCTCCTTTTTCTTTCTGCTAGCCAAATGGACCAAGCCCTTTAACCCTGCAGATACTATTAAAGGCTTCTCATTCCTGGTGGGCCAGGGGACCACTGTGCATGTCCCCATGATGCACCAGACAGAAGAGTTTGCTTTTGGAGTGGATCCAGAGCTGGACTGCTCTGTGCTGCAGATGGACTATGGCCCAGACACCATGGCCCTCTTTGTCCTTCCTAGCAAAGGCAAGATGGGCCAGCTGGAACAGGCCTTGTCACCTAGGACGCTGGAAAAGTGGAGCCACTCACTGCAGAAGAGGTGAGCCTCTGTGTCAGTATGTTGGAACTTGGACCAGGTGATGGTGTGCAACCAAGGACCGGGAGAACAGGGGTAACAGCTGTTGAATAATCACTCCACAAATTAGCCCCAACTGCACACTGGATAGTGAGCTTTTTATGGTGTATATGTGTTCACACTTGAACTTCACCATTACCAGATACATGAGAATTCCACTGACCCCCATTTTAGGTAAGGAAAGAGAATCACCCAAGGTTATGTCTGCATAGCCATTGTGGCTAGTCCATGCTAGCCAAGTTCACTACAAGAGGCAAGCTGATCTCAAATTCAAAGGAACAATCTTGCAAAAGCAAACAAACAAAAAAAGCCTTGGTGCTCACTTATAAAATGACAATGATATTACTGATTTTCTTCGATACAGGGTCTCACTTTCTAGTCCCACACTGGCCTAGCACTCATGGTCCTCCTGGCTCAGTCTCCTGAGATCTGGGTTTATAGGTGTGTGCACCACACCTGGCTAATATTACTGAATGTATAGGTTGTTGAAAAGTTAAAACAAGTTACTGTTTATGAAGTGCTTCAATAATGTCCTCTAATAGTAATTTCATTCATTCTGTAATTACTATGGACAATATGAAAAGGACTAACTATATGATATAAAGGAATGTCAGAATCTTATTTTGGGTATCTTAAAATATTTTTTATGCCTGGGCCAGCTTTGAACTAAGATCCTCCTACCTATGCCTTCTGTGAAGTTGGGGTTACCGACACATAACACCCTGCCCAGCTTGTCATTGAGATGGGGTCTTGCTAGCTTTTTATCTGGGCTGGTCTGGGTGGAGATCCTCCTGATCTACACCTCCCAAATAGCTGGGATTACAAGTGTGAGCCACTCCACCTTGTGTTTAACCATCTTTAAAATAGAGACAATGTCACTGAATGTGCCTGGGACCATGTCTGGCACATGGTAGATATTCAATAAATGCCAGCTGTTTATTCCCAGGTGAGGGGAAGCAGTGTGGAGGAAGAAAACATTGTGCAAACTCTAGGGTTGTGATGTTGAATACAGTAGCTACCAAGCATGTGTAGTTATTCATGTTTAAATTAATTATAATTGATCAAAATTAGTATGACTCACGACTAATCCCAGCTACTTGGGAGGTGGAGATCAGGAGGGTTGCAGTCCGAGGCCAACCTGGACTAAAAGTTAGTGAGATCCTATCTCAACAAAACAAGCTAGGTGTGGTGGTGCACACCTGTTGTCCCAGCTGCATGGGAGACCACAGGTTGGAGGATTGTGGTCTGAGGCCAGTCCAGGCAAAAAAGTGAGACCCTATTTGAAAAATAATCTAAGACAAAAAGGGCTGGGGACTTGACTCAAATGATAGAGCACCTGCTTAGCAAGTACAGGGCCTCAAGCTCAACTCCTAGTACCACCAAAAAAAAATAATAGTAATTAAACAAAATTGAAAGTTTTGCTCCTTGTTTGCAGTAGTCACATTTGAGTTTTCTCCATAGCCTCACTTGACTAGTGACTCCTGTAATGGACAGCACAGGTGCCATGTAATCCCAACACTGAGAACGTGCTGATGGACTCTGCTGCTCAGTGGATCTGCTGGGCTTGCCTTGGAAAGGTTGCAGCGTGGCCTCCCAAGCAAGGTCTGCTTGATGAGCTTCCATCACCATCTGGTGTCCTCATTGGTCTCCACCCGAGGCTGCCCTGCTGGGCCACCTTTCCCCCTGTGTCCCTGTTTCATGACAGGGCCCATTTGTCTTCCTGCAGAGCTGGACGTGCTCCACTGGGAGGTTCACTCCAGAGCAGCCTGCTATTTTTTGGCTGGGATGTGTGGCCTCTTTAGCAATAGCTAGTAGTGGCTGAAGGAAGCCTGGAGCCTCCGAAATGCCACTGGAGGCAGAGATGGACACCACACTGGCTTCTGAGCTCACCTTTCTCTCTCCCTTCTCCACAGGCGGATAGAGGTGCTCATCCCCAGATTTTCCATGTCTGCCTCCTACAACCTGGAAACCATCCTCCCCAAAATGGGCATCCATGATGCCTTTGACAGAAATGCTGATTTTTCTGGAATTACAAAGAGTGACTCCCTGCAGGTTTCCAAAGTGAGTCAATCGAGGAGACTGTCAGGGTAAAGTTTATGTGGATAGCCTTGTGTGATGGAGTCAAGCTCTTTAGCCTCCTTCCCCCCACCCCCTGTACCCACCAGGGGACCCACATACCCCATCCCTTTGGGCTTACCTGTCTAGCCTCTGTCAGCATAGATTCTGATTGCTGACCTAAGATTTAATTCAATAATGGCTTATAATGGTCAGAAGTGACCCTGCAGCCACAGCAGGGACCTTTGTCTTGGTCCCGAGGGAAGGAAGGCAAAGAGCATATGATGACCCTAATGAACCTTTTCTCAAGGAAGCACTCATGTGCACCAGTGAAAACTCATTCCTGTCATCAAGGGGAATCCCTGCTCCCCTGCAGTTTAGGAACATATGAGCCCCAGGTCACAACCCTCCTCCCTAGAAGACCACAAAGCTCCAGCCTGTTGTAGCACCGTACATGGAGTGGAATCTCTGAGGGAGCCACTGACAATTGTGTTTTTCTTGGCAGGCTGCTCACAAGGCTGTGCTGGCTGTCAGTGAGGAGGGGACAGAGGCCGTAGCAGCCACTGCCACCAACATCATACTCCGCTCAAAGGATGGTCCCTCTTCTCCTATCATCTGCTTTAATAGCACCTTCCTGGTGATGATCGTAGACAAACACATTGAGTCTATGCTTTTCCTAGGGAAAGTCCAAAATCCCACCCAAGTCTAAGGCTGGCATGAACTGTTGACTGATCATACATGTGAACATCTCCCTGCAGTGTCCCAAGGGTGACACCAAGACCTGCCTCCTCCTGATCCGAGGTATGTCTGACCCAGGCAAAGCTGCATTCCCCGTGAGGATGCCTCTTTTAAGGGCTCAGTCCTCTTGTATCTGTCTCCCCTATTTAGTCCCAGTGGGCCAGGAATCTTGTCTTAGTATACATTAAGTGCTCAATATGTTTTTATTGAACAAATAAAATAATGGGTTCATGCAGCTGTTGACATGTCATTGGGTGGCAACCTTGCCTCTGGGACTTAGCCGGTCATTTTCAGATTAGCATCCCACAGTTATGCTGGAGCCCTGTTGCTGAATTCACATTTTAGGTTTATTGCAGTCATTACAGTAAGTGTGCAATGAGGGTACTTCCCCATAAGTCCCTGTTCCCAGGAGCTCCACCCCTGAAGAATGGAGATTTGCTGCCCAGCTGTGCTCTGGGAGACTGGTATTTTGAAGGCTGCTGGCTGGGATGACCGGGGTTGGGGTCCCTGCTCTCAGTTTGAGGACTTGTAGCCAATTAGAATAAGTATTGTAAAGGTATTGAGTAGAAACTGAGAGTTGGGAGTGAGCAGGTGCATTGGAGGGACAGATGGGAGTCCCTGAAGTCACCGTGTGTCACAGGTGGAATGGTAGAAACCAAGACTGAGATACAGGGAGGTAGGACGGTGTGGGAAGGGTATGTTGGCCAAGGAAAGCAGCCTAGGCGTGGTGAGGTGGAAGGAGACAGAAAGCCAGCGGAGTCCTCAGGCAGGAAAATGCCAGGAGTGTATGGCTTGTGAAGGTCTCTGGTTGCTGGATGCCTTCTGGACTCTAGTGCTGTCACCCTCTGGGTGCTCAGCCTCCTCCTTCCTCTGCATTCTGAGAGCCACTTGCAGTACCATCAACCGTGGTGACCCCATGGCACAGACAGCTCACACCCTTTGATTCATCCCCACCATCCTTCCTGCCCCCACTGGCAGGCGGCCTGTGCTGGCTTCTGGCCCCTGCACCTCTCAGCACTGAGGTGTCCCCGGCAACCTCTACGGAGCTCTTGCTCCTAAAAGACCCAAAGGCCCTTTCCCAGGGGCCTCACCCTTTGGGATGTGCCATGTGGAGACCTCAGACTGGCTTTCCCACAGAAGGAAATAAACCAGAAGGACTTGTGCTGGGAGCTGGCAGAAGCTTCAAAGGAGCTGAATGTTGTGATTGCACACTCCTGCTTTGCTTTGCAAACGGATAAGCAGAGACTTCAAGAGGGAGGAGAACTCACCCAGGTCACAGGGCTCCTGGGGCAGCATTAGAAATTTATAGGAGAAGCTCTAATGCTGCAGGGTCACCCACAACACCCTGCCCTAAGGCACTCCATAAAGGTCGAATTGAAGAACAAGCCATCCTCCCTCTCAGGAGCACACTGGCAGACACGGGGTCTCCTCCATTGTTCCAAGTCAGACAGGATGTCTACAATGGCATGAGATGCATGCCAGGTGCAAAGAACTAACGAGTGGCACTTTCTTTTTTCAGATTTTTTTATTGATGTACAACATTTTTTTAAATTTTATCATTTTTACATTTACTGACATGTGTATACACTGTTTGGGCCTCCTCCTCCCCCAATTCCCATACCTCCAGCCCCTGCCGCTTCCACACAGAACCTGTTCTGCCCTCTTATTCTCCAATTTTGTTGAGAAAACATAAGAGATAGTAAGAAAGACATAGCATTTTTGCTAATCTGAGCTAAAGGCAGCTGTATAGAGAGATTCCTAGCATTGCTTCCATGCGCATGCGCATGTATATTGCAATGTACATTGGCTCCTCTCTACCAGACCTCTTCACTACTTCCTGGCCCCTTTCCATAGAGGCCTCACCAGTTTAAGATTACTATATTTGCTCCTCTACAGTGGGCACATCAACCACATTCAAGTTTTAGGTTTCCTTCCCCTTCCCTGTTCCTCCTGTGCTCATTCTCTCCTAAAATATCACCTTTTCTTAATCCATTCATCAGTAGTGGGGCATCTTGGCTGTTTCCATAACTTGGCTATTGTGAATAGTGCCGCAATAAACATGGGTGTGCAGGTGCCTCTGGAGTAACCTGTGTCACAGTCTTTTGGGTATATCCCCAAGAGAGGTATTGCTGGATCATATGGCAGATCAATGTTTAGTTTTTTAAGAAGCCTCCAAATTTTTTTCCAGAGTGGTTGTCCTAGCTTACATTCCCACCAGCAGTGTACAAGAGTTTCTGTTTCCCCACATCCTCATCAACATTTGTTGGTGGTGGTGTTTTTGATGATGGCTATTCTAAAAGGAATGAGGTGGACTTAGTGTGGTTTTGATTTGCCAGAGATGGTGAACATTTTTTCATGTTTTTTGGCCATTTGAATTTCTTCCTTTGAAATAGTTGTTTAGTTCAGTTGCCCATTTCTTTATTGCTTCATTGATTTTTGGGAGTTCAGTTTTTTAAGTTCCCTATATATTCTGGTTATCAGTTCTTTGTCTGATGTATAGCCAGCGAATATTTTCTCCCACTCTATGGGTGGTCTCTTCAGTTTAGAGACCATTTCTTTTGTTGTGCAGAAGCTTTTTAATTTCATGTAATCCCATTTGTCCATCCTTTCTCTTAGTTGCTGGGCCGCTTGAATTCTACTGAGGAAATCCTTGCCTATACCTATTGCTTCCAGAGTATTCCCTGCTCTTTCCTTTACTAACTGCAAGGTTTTGGGTATGATATTAAGGTCCTTAATCCACTTTGAGTTGATACTGGTTCAGTGTGATAGGCATGGATCAGTTTCAGTTTTCTGCAGGCAGATAACCACTTTTCCCAGCAACATTTGTTGAAGAGACTGTCTTTTCTCCATCATATGTTTTTGGTGCCTTTGTCAAAAATAAGGTGGGCATAGCTGTGTGGATTCATATCCGGGTCCTCTGTTCTGTTCCACTGGTCTTCTTATCTGTTTTTGTGCCAGTACCATGCTGTTTTTATTCTATGACTCTGTAGTATAGTTTGAAGTCAGTTTGCTCAGTATTGCTCTGACTATTCGTGGTCTTTTGTGTTTCCAAATGAGATTTAGGGTAGATTTTTCTATCTCTGCGATAAATGTCATTGGGATTTTGATGGGAATTGCGTTGAACACATAGATTGCTTTAGGTAGTATAGCTAATGGCACTTTCAAGTCATTATCAGAAGCCCTCATGGTTGGATGGATAAGGGTTATCAGCCTCCCCCTGCAGCCTTGCTCCCAGGTGACAGTACATGGAAGCAGCCTCAGGTACTGCCCATTCAGACGTGTGTAAGCCAGTGGTGCAGGAGTTGTTCGAGCCAGCTCTGTCAGCCTGCAGCCTCAGCCCGCTGCCATGTGAGATGCCTTTCCATTTGTTTTCAGATGGACTCATATTGGTTTGGAATGTGTTTAAATCAAGTGTGGTAGGATGACAGAGACAGCAGCCTTTGAAGGAAGAGTTTGTCATTTAGAGTGCCCAAGAGGGCATGCCCACACCACGCCCTGGTGATCAGAGGCAGAGGGGCAAAGTGGGTGAGAGCACTGAGCACTGGGGTGATGGGAGGAGTCACCTCCTCACTGGTGGGGTGGATGCTCCCTATTGGGCAGGAAACAAAGTAGAGGTTGGAGGGTTTATAGAATGACTGTCATGCCTATGAAAATGCAGAGATGGTGTGAATGGAAATGACCTTGCCATTGGTTTGGTCCATGACTTCAAGATGCAAATCATCAATTACAGAATATCAAGAATGATTATCACACACAGCATGAATGCCTCACCCATGTCAAAGTGACAATACTCTAAAAGCAGATACAGCTAACTTAGTCTGAGCTGAGTGACAATACCTCCAAAGAGCATCTACACAAACAAAGCACACAAACATAGGTTCAGAGCCTGCATCCAGGATACCAGGCCATGAGCTGTTCATATAAGGTCAGAAGCACCTGTGCACTGAGAAACCCATGCATCTTACACACCACTCACCTCGTCTGTGGAAAATCTTTCTTTCTTCTTTTAACTACTCACTAGGTTTATTAGTGCCAACTCTGCTTGGCCAAGTTGTGCTATCACCCACTCCAGAGTGTGGGGTCTGATTAGTCTTTCAAATACTAACCAGCCCTTCAGTGTCTGTTGCTGAGCCATCCCAAGGCTGGTAACTAATCACCTTAGAATGTAAATAAAAGCAAAAGAGCACCCATTCTTAGCTGAATTATAGACAATGTGGCACCCCCCTCCCCTTCCGGACACCTGGGTGTGTAGGTTTTCTGGGTAGATGTCCCTTCTCTGTCTGCCCAGTGAATTGGTCAACAGGCACTTAGCTGAATTGAGCACCTCCTATGGACCAGGAGCGGCACTGAGGCTGAGTTTCACAAAATCCTACCTTTTGGAGTTTGCAGTCTGCCAGGAGGAGGATGGGGGGCACTGCCAGAGGGTGGTTCACATGGCCCTTCACTAAGATAAGCTATTCACATGGATCAAGAGCACTCATTTGGGTCCCCAAATGCACTGCAGCCACCCCAGCTCATATCCATACCCCACAGGGCACGAGCACAGGCAGGAGCTGCTCTTAGGATATGGCACTGGGGACTTCCTATGCAAGACAATTATATAGCATGGGGTCAAGAGGCAAAAGGGACCAAGCGTGGTGCTGGTGGCTCACCCCTGTAATCCTAGATACTCAAGAGGCAGAAATCAGGAGGATCATGGTTCAAAGCCAGCCCTGGGCAAATAGCTTGTGAGACCCTATCTCGAAAAAAGAAAAAAAATCACACAAAAAAAGGACTGGTGGAGTAGCTCAAGGTATAGACCCTGAGTTCAAACCCAAGTACTACAAAAAAAAAAAAAAAGAGAGAGACAAAAGGGACATGTCCCTTCTCTGTCTGCCCAAGTGAATTGGTCAACAGGCACTTAGCTGAATTGAGCACCTCCTATGGACCAGGAGCGGCACTGAGGCTGAGTTTCACAAATTCCTACCTTTT